TTTATTCATTTATTTACAGGACTACATTCGTTGAGAGCTATGCTACACGATGTATTATTATGTCCTTTATTCGAGCACTGTATCTACCTTTCTTTGATGATTTATATATATAATTTAACAGTGTTAACGGCAATCTTGATTTATATATATATATATATATATATATATATATATATCTTTTTCGCCTTATGACGACCAGATGAAAACACGGTCTTATGACGAGCGACGTATATTTTGAATAGTGTTCAATATTATCTGCATATATGATAGATTCCTGTTTTTCCGAAGTTCAAAAAAATGTTAGTCAATTTAATGTTATACACGGATAGGTCTGTCTATTTCGACTTTCGATACCACAAGTTTACGAACTCCTGTGTTACTTGACGCAATCTCGCCATGACATCATGATATAATGAAAAATTAAGTAAATTACCTTTATATTTGTGCAATTTGCTTCTTATCTCCTTAATCCTGTTTAATCGTAAGTCGGCCAACCCTCCCTAATTTTGCAAAATTTGAAAGTGGGGAAAAAAGAAAATTGTATTTAAATTTAAGTCTGAGAGTGCCATTTCCGGCCAACTAGAGGTGCCATAATCATAAATTTTCTTACCTGAGAGCTCCAACCATGGTGGGGTTGAGGTGGTCTACACTCCATCTGGAAAAGTCCCTCCCTGGCCGGCCGGCCCCCCCCCCCCCCCCCACCGCCTAAAATTTCCAATTTTTGGATCCGCTACTGTATTTTGAAAATGTAGTGTGGAAATCAATTTTAATTGCATTCCTTATAATTAATTAGATACGACTATAGACGCCATAGCTTCCGGGGGACCCCAGTCATGGCTTGGGCCTTATTTTTGAATTCGTCCCTCCCCCCACTTTTCACAACGGACCGACGCCTTGCCCTTGATTACCGTCAACAGTGCTTGTTGTCGATCGATCGTTGAGGGTTGTGACTGTTGTTGGCCAAAAGATGGTCCTAAAAGCATCGTTCACACTGAAACATTTTCAGATGGGAATTCGATGTGAATGCCGCTTCAGTATGTAATAGCTGTTGTCCCTAAATGTAATATGTCATTATTATTATTGTACTGTACCAGAAAAACGATATAAACAATACTAATAAAAATACAAATAACAATTATGAAAAGGCATCACTTTAACAAAATGAAAAAAAAAACAAAAAAAACAAAAAACACTGGCAACGAACAGAGCTGGATAACAACCTGGCAATTAATTTCATAGACAAACATCGCTAGTTGCTAGATGCAATTGGGGTGGCTGACGTCCGTCTCGCTGCCGGTCTGCAGCAGGATCTCTATCAATTGGGGAGCTTCGGAGCTTTGGTAGTTGCTAAATAAAGAAGGGGGTCAGCCGAGGGGGCGTGGCTTGTATATGGTGACGTTATGTAATTATGCAGTCTACCAACAAACATCACACTACACTAGAAAGGCGAGCAGGCTGATAATAAAAAT